CCTTTCATCACCCCCCTTCTCCCCCATCTCATTCATGCCACATTCCACAGTGGCAGGGTCCAACAACAATATAGGAGGGTACCCAAAATGAAGAGGCAGGGCCTTCCATTCTTCTGCCTCTCTTGAATTAATTAACTGGAAATGAGTTTTGTCAATGTTTTGGAAAGGCAGAGGGGTGAAAAGAAACTGCTAGAATTAATCACAGTGAGAAACTACCTCTTCAGCAGTCTGCCAGAGTTCAGAAAACCCATGAGAAGTGCAAAATAAAAGGAAAGTGGGCTGACTTACCATCCAAAGGAACAAATAAAATTCAAACAAACACCCAAGTCTCCAAAACAGAGACATGCCCCAGTGCAAAGGAATGTAGCATCTGTTGCCACAACAGCTTCAGCTTTGTCTTTAATATACTTGTCATGAAGACTGAAAGGTAACAAGGTAGAAAAGACAATTTACTAATAATTTAAATACACAGAAGGCATGTTGTGTTTAATTCACTATTTATGTACATCCAGTGTTCCACTGATCCTTATATAAGCAGAGATATTTAAGCACTATGATTGAAAACGAGTAACTTCCATTGTTTAGCCCTGACTCAGCATAGATCTTTTAAATGGAGAAGGCAGACTGCAAAGCAGTTATTTCTTTGTTGAGTTTTTAATGATAGTTAACTCCAGGTTCAGCAATGGAAATTATAACAACACAATACTGCACGCATGACATCTTTCTACTAACAAAACAAGAAAGTAATGCAATTTCAACCATCCGAAAAGAAGGATTTTTTCCATAGGTTAATTTACCTAGGTATTTAGAAAATGCATAGGTGTCCTTTTGTTTACAACAGTGAGGCAGAAGTATCATTTGGCAGTTTTTCTGAGAATGAATGTAACACTTCCAGCAGACTGGAACTAAAACTGAAGAAATCTTGATTGCCTGAGCAGGGAAAAATATGTTAAAAGAGAAATCCTCTTTTAATGATTTGACTGTTCTTAATTTTTTGTTCACGAGGGCTTTTTCCTGACAGATCTCAGAATTAACTTGTCATCTCGTTTCTCTGTCTCTAAACCCATACTCTCAAGGGCACAATTGTCTGCCAGCCCCTTCTCCTCCATCTGCGCAATAAGCTCTTGGTTTCTCTCATTCTGTTCAGTGAGATTTCGGATAGCATATACTGCCCACTGGTTCACAACTGTTGAACAAAGTTAAGGATCATTTATCTATTTAAAGATGAAGCAATGCTTATTCTAATTTATTACTGCATTCCCCTCCCCCTGCCGCCCCCCCTTCCCCCAATCCCTCAAACCCAGAAAAACAGTAGAAATCAAGGGTTAGAAAAAGTAAGACATTTACAGGTACTGACTCTGAACCTGCAAATACTTGCATATGAGGTAATTTAAGTTTAAATGAGGTATGTCCATTAACTTCAGGCAAGTTTACTAGGTTTTATCTTGAATTAAAAAAACCAAACATAACACAAAGGAACTGCAGGAATTAAAAGGACATATTGTTTTAAACCAAAATTACAGTTAATTGAAATGTTCCAATGATCTTCCTAGTGAGATTAAAAAAAAAAGTCAGTCACTGTGTTTACGATCCGAACACTTCAATACTACACTTCCAAGAACTGGCAAATAAAATGAGCTGTAAACCAGGTACAAGAAAGAAAACAACTATTATTTTCACTGTACAAGTTGAAGAAATGTAGTAAAAGAGAAACACATCTTATCCAGGTTAACAACTGAAAATGGCACAAATAATGTGGGAGACACTTAAAAATACTTAATGTTACCTAAACTCAGTTCTTTGTGCCTGGGTGCTTCTACAAACTTGCCAACAGAACAGACAGTAAGATCACCAGCAGGTAGCTCCTGCTCATGTTTAAATGGGCACAAGCTGCAACTCATTCACCTTCTAAGGTGGTCCCTTGAGGCCAGGATTGAGGCACATGTCAGGGCCATAGACGAAGGATTTAAATTCCCAGGATTATCAGTCAGGCATCTTCCAAGTGAACTACAGTGTTCATTTTATGAAGCGTCAGAGATGTTAGCCCCAATTCTGCAGCTGAAAAGCTATGTTATGATATAATCTTTCCCAAGTCACCCAAACGGGAGGCAAGCCATTCTGAATCACACAAAAGTGCTTTTTGCCTGCAGGGCACCAATTATTTACTACATGTAGCTTCACATCCAGTAGAAGAATATGCATAATTTACTCATCTCCTTGACGTCTTTTGGGTTGGACAGTGCCTAAGCACAGAGATAAGATAGTGTTCTTATGGGCATTTGCCAGGGGGTGACTGGAGGGGAAAACTCCACACTTGTGGAAGACGGGAACTTCAGCCAAAACAATAAAATACAGGAACTGGACTTTCTTACACAATCTATTATGACAGCATTTGGAAAATCCTGTACCACTACATGCACATTCTTACAGTAGCAGTCTTGCCATTTTCTCTGTGCACCTTGCACTGGCTGTTGTGCCTACCTTGCTGCCACCTCCAACTACCGCTTAGGCTTACACACTTTCAGCAGAGGCAGTCTTTCATGCTGGGTTGTTGGATGCACCAGGAAATGTGGATGAACAACAGCACACAGCAGAAGCAGCTTTCTTAATATAAGACTAGGTCCCGCCTTCACAAGCTTACATTTTAAGAGAGGGGAAGTAATAAACTGGGAATACAGGAGACAAAAAAAAAAAAGTCTATGACCATACCTAACCACAGCGCTACTTAGATGCCAAAAGAGAATAGAGAAGGGACTGAAATAAAAAGCACATGAGGAATCCTCAACAGAGAGAGAAAGGTTTAGATGAAGTTTGCCTGGACAAACATCACAGGAAACATACATGCTAGGGAACAATCCTGCACTGGCATGCACCGCTGAAACAGCCCCCTGCCTTTCAACAGCAGTTTATATTTATTTTCACATTCAAGCAGCCCAGAACTGAAAATCCAAAACAGCAAAGCAGTAACAACTATAGGGCTTTTTTCTGACAGAGTTCTTCAGACTTTGTCAGGAAACATGCTGCACACCTCCTTCATTCAAAAAATTCTGGCATGAGGTAATGACAGAGGAGAGAAGTTAAAAAAAAATAATAATTATGTATCACATCAAAGCCTTAACAGGTGAACATGACAGAGAATATAAATGTATTCTCTCCTGTCAGTGCATCACCACTATAGTTAAGTGAAAAGACAAGTGCCAAGCTACATTTAAGTTACATAAACTGAATATTTCCACTGAAGATAACGTTTGAGTATATAAAACAACAATACAATACCAAAGAAATAAAATCATATATGAGCAGAATCTCACCCATCAGCTCCAATGGTGAGAATAAATTTCAGAATAGTAAAGTATGCAAGCTGATGAATGCAGATGAACAAAGGCTGATACCTAGCAGATCTTTCTGAGGTCTGATTTAGGGCATTTCACGAGTGCCAGAAAGTAACATGAAGTTCTCCCAATGGACTGTGAGAAACATGCTACCACCCTCCCTGGCTCTGCTCCTGGGATGAGGAGCAGACTTCTCTTGTTGTGTTCCTAAAACACAGCTCTGCACAAAATACAGCGCTTGCATAAAAGAATACCTCCTAAAAAAATAAAAGTAATTTTCAAAGAGTGACAGTTCTCAATCACGCAAAGTGCCACACAGAGAAAAAAGTACTCTCAGAATTTTTTTTTTTTTTGTATTAGCCTTGGGAATAATCCTGTTACCATCATCTTTATGTCCTTCAACACAAAAACACTGCTAAACCCCACAGCAAATGATGTTTTCCTATTATCATATCCATTCATGCTTACATAATATCTAAGACATTCCCATTCTCTTATGAACTCTATCATCATTATGGCATTTATCATTATTGACTACTGTAGCTGAAGCTGCAAAATGGTTTCAATAACGTTTTCACTCATTCAAAAACTCCTTTCTGTATGTAGGTTTTCCATTGTAAATTCAGTCATGAATATGCATGATTTCCCTTGTTCGCATGCTGTGTGGGGCTAAGACCTTTGGATGGCTGTGTGCAGACCTAGACAGACTTAAGTGTCAGCAGAGATTAAAGCTAGTCCCCAGCTAATATTCACATTACCCTCTTGCTCCTCTCCAAAGATAGAGACACAGAGAGAAAATTAAACATATTCTAGAGTCTCTAATCCTACCAACACTTTAAGCACTTTATTGTATGCTCAGCTTTAGAAAAAGAGCTTCTAAAGTTTCCATAGTTACTACAAATAAGAGCATGAGCCTGTTTGTTGTGAAACTGCATAGAAGAAAAGAAATGCAGCAAGCACAGCAGATCTGATTGCATAGATCTCTCTCGGTTTTTCCAACAGGAGATACTGCACTCTCAAATTAATTAATATTATAGACAAGTGAAGATTACAATTTCTCTGTCACAGTGCAGAGTGCATACAAAAGAAAGAAAAAATTTAATTTTATTTTGCAGGAGCTTCATTACTAGACCACCTGTGTTTAGGGAATGAAAGCAAACACTTGTATGCATTTATAGCAACTTTTTTTCAAAATCCTTCAGTACTGTATGCTATGGGATTCCTATCTTATTTTGACTTATACAAACAATAACAAAACTGTATCAACTTGCCCTGTGTTCCATACTTGTGTAACATCTTCATACAGCAATTTAAAATTTATCATCTAAACTCCGCTGGGTTGTAACTTCAATTGCCACGGAGGGGGGAGTATGGGGAGAAAGGAAGAGAGGTGGAGAAGATGCGCTAGCAATCTGCCCTAAAGGATGAAAAATTTTACTATCTGGAATCAACATAAACCATGAAAATCTATGCCACTAAAACCTGTGGAACTTTTGCCATTGATTGCAAAGGGAACTTTTCACAATTCTCTTGTTTCTTTTCATATGGATTCTGCTACAAGAGGTTGCTAGAGTCAATGCTAGCAACAGCACAGTGATTTTTTAATAAGTTTAATGACTTGTGAAAATACAGCCACATACTGTCAGGAGTGGCTAACCAATATCCTATTGCGATACATTACTGGAGAGGAGGACTTACAAACCATTTCCCAAAGAGAGTATTCCAGCTTTGCATTCTCATATTAGGAGGTCCAATTTGGACTAAATGTTATTGGCAAGTCTATTGCAGCCATCAGGACCTCTATGAATTGTTCTATAAAACAATTTGGATTCTATGGATGAAAGACAGTAGACATAATTATTAATGAGGTCTGAATCTGACGACGTAGATATACAGCAATGCATAAGTAATGTTGAAAGTATGTTGCTTGAAAAAGGCAAGTAACTTAAGTTTTAAAACTTAAGTATTATCATTAACTAATGTAGGATACTGAAGAGTGGTGACAAGGAGAATGAAATACGTACATCTGTTTTCTTAAGTCCCCTTGATATTTATTATAACATCCTTGCTGGGGAGTTTGATTTATTACCTAGCGTAGATACTTTTTTTTTTTTGTTAGACCATTTCCTGCACTACAGTTATTTTCAATAATTAAATGATTACTTAGGAAACTCTCTTCCTTAAGAGTCATTTGGCCTAATGAGAAAAAGAGGATATTCTTTGTCCAATTCTAGTACCTCATTTAAATCAGATTTTTTACTATTTAAATATTAACTTCATTTCAATCAAATATAGGAAGAGATACAAAACCTTATCAAGAGAGACAACTCACACGGCTTGGAACCCTAGTCAAACGGGCTGTTTATGCAACAGCTAAAGCCACCCAACTTCTCTAAGAGCTTTTCTGGAACAGGTCTATAGGGCTAAAAACCAGAGAAAATGAAAATACAATTCTTGTTAATTACATTTCTTTCTGGTCTTCAACAAGTAATCCAATTATCACTAAAACTTCTGTAGACAGAAATGAAATACTAAAGCGTCACGTTAGAAGAATCATTTCCACTTACAGGCCTGGCTGGACCACACTGAAAAAACATAAACTATTTCCCCTTCAAGTCTTTCAGTCCTTTTAAGTACTTTTGTTTCACAGCCACTTGAAGATAATTCTTCTCACCATTAAAAGAGGTCTCTAGACAGCTACCACAACTGTTATTCACAGTTCAGAAGATCAATGTGTCGTGATTGACCACACGTAGTAGACAGTCAGGATTTTGGTCCCTCACAGTCAGCCAAATTGCTTACAAAGCTCTACAAGTTTCTTCCTGTTGGGGCTTTTAGTAGTTTTATGAAGTCC